TGTGAGTATGCACACAAAGACATATATCAGGCCATAGTGTTCTAACCCCTCTAAACACTTTAAATAACACACACATAAAGATACTATGCATTGAATTTGTATGTGATTATCACATCTTTTAACTTAATAGTATAATATAATAACATTATATAATAATATTATGTTTTATGATATATGATAATATAATATAACCTAATAGTAAAAGTTTTCATTTTACTAGAACTAACACTACCACTGGAGGGCGACCAAGTCAACAATTTAAAATCCTACATATAGTGGTTTTAGTGTGCATTGTCCAAGGGAAAACAAACATTAGTAACTTTTAGTGGTATGCATTGTTTAGAAATTCAAAATAATTTATCATAATGATTTATGCCAGTGTTTATACATATTTGCAATCATGCCTGACATGGCGATGATGATGGGTTACTCAAGTACACCAGATCCCACACATCTGCAAAATATCAAGGATAAGACAACAAAATTTCAAGACTTTTTTCACTATGGTCCAGGATGTAAAAAAACAGGATTGATGCAAGAGTACTGCAACATCACACTAACATCAAATTTGTATATGAAATACAATGTATATCTTTAGCAATAAAATTGGCAATAGAAACAAATCATTTGCACATATATACAAATTACTTGTAACTTCCAGTTTCTTGCACCAACTAATCTAAAGGAACAACTGCCCATATTGGATGCTCGGCAAACACAATTCGGCAACAATGCCTCTAATCTGAGTGTTGCTGCAACCTTACAAAAGTGGTCTTTGAGATAATGAGGGGCCTTGTTGTTCAAATTATGAACCAGACTGAGTTGTAGTTGTCTGGCTCTGTCTTTCAAAGGTAACCACCCAAGCTGTTGGAATTGCTGTTTGCCATTGTGTGCTCTTGAGTTAACATCCAACACAACTCTGACTAATTTGTTTTGAGAGAATAAAGTTTTGCTTAAAGTGTTTTTCCTTTTCCTTCGAGCAACTCAAAACAAGGGATTTGCCAGCAATCTTCAACTTTCTTTGCCAATAAAATGATCTTTTCTTGCCAAAAACCTGATTCTGTTGTTCACCTTCCCCGGAGTCTTTAATACCATACTCTCTCCATCCAAAGTATTTTCTAACAAACTCTGAATAGCTAAAAAAAACATTTGGGAGGACAGATCTGACCATCTAAAACAATACTGGCTGAATAGAGTTAATTTAGCTGTGATTTTGATCCAAATAAAATAATTAAAATTTTTGCCATAAGGGAAAACTAAATTTTTACTAGCTAGTTTTTAGTCTTGTTGGGTTCTTGACTCAACCTTCATTTGTTCTCATCCTTGTGTGAAACCAAAACCTCTGAGTCATCACCATATAAAAATACATTTTCAGTAAAAACGGACCTCAAATCATTTTCATGTAATAAAAACAAACAAGGCCCCAGAACACTCCCGTGTGAGACTCCACATGTTGGAAGTTGACCACTAGATAAGTGGCACTGAATCTCAACTCTTTATATTGAATGTGTGTGTGTGTGTGTGTGTTGTGTGTGTGTGGTTGTGTGTGTGTGTGTGTGTGTGTGTGTTGTGTCCTAGTGGAGAAGAAGGGGACATTGGCTCCAACAGACCACCAGGAGATTCGTACCCTCCTCAACACAATTGTTCGCAACATCCAGACCAACGACGTCTACGGACCAATCAACCTGCTGATCCGAGAGATTAAACGGCGTCCAGAGGGAGTCAAACGACAAAGGTCAGATCTGTTCTTCCTTTTTACTTCACCCTTTACTTCTCTCTATTGGTTCAAAATATTCTTTGAATGTTTTTAAACGCTTATATTAATATATTGTCAGTGAAAACACATCTTATGTCTCATTTATGTGTTCTGATACTCTCTCAGGAGCATCTATAGAGAAATACTGTTTCTTTCACTGGTGGCTTTGGGACGGGAGAACATCGATGTAGGTGAGTGAACCTGTGAAAGCCCACCACGCTGTTCTAGAGTCTGCAGTTTGTGAAAAAGATCGATATGTTCCTAAATGTTGTCATGCCGGTTTGATGCCTTGTGAATGCTGTTGCAAGCACCTTCATTTTTTTGGTTTATCAAATGTGAAACTGGTTCAATGTTTCTCTGTCTCTAAAAAAGTAAAAAGTTATAAACACAAAAAGTGCCAGAAACCTTTACCTTTGCTCTTCTGACTTTGCAAATCTCCGCTCCCTCTCTTTGTATCTGCAGAGGCCTTTGACAGGGAGTACCGCCTGGCCTACGACCAACTGAGCGCCGAGCAGCTCAAGTCTTTGCACCGCATCGATCGACCACCCACCCCCAGCATCCAGTGGTGCCTTAAAAGCTTTGGAGCTCCTGTCATCTGACCATGGACACCTGCAGCAAAGAAAAAAAAATCTGACTGGTCACATGTAAGAGCAGGGGGGAAGGATCGGTTGTGTGGCCTGGGGTGTGAGCGAAAAATTTTGTAATAAAACACCTCCAGTTGTCCAAACATGGTACTTCTTCTTCTTCCCCCTGTCCTGGAAGATGCCCGTTGTCTGCTTTTTTTTTTTTTACTACCTTATTAAGCTTTTGATAGGTTTCTAAGCAACTGGCTACAAATGGGACTGTTTCTGATATCTGCTTGAAGACTAGCAGTGAATCTTTTGGGACGAGCTGAGGTGCGTTTCTTTACAGATGGTGTATAGAATGATTAATCACTGTACAGAATATATTGACTGCCCCTATGGTGTAGACATTTCTGCTGTGCGTGTGTGTGTGTGTGTGTGTGTGTGTGCGTGTGTGTGTGTGTGTGTGTGTGTGTGTGTGTGTGTGCGTGTGCGTGTGCGTGTGTGTGTGTGTGTGTGTGTGTGTGTGTGTGTGTGTGTGTGATCATGGCGTCAGTTCCCTGTCTCGTAGCCTCTTCCTCACTTTGCTTAAGTCTGTCCCAAGTGTTCCCAGATTACATCAGTGTGTGTTGTTTGAGACAACTGTTCCTTTGTGCACTTTCTAAAAAAAAAACAAACAAACAAAAAAAAAACATACAAAACAAAACAGGAACTCTAGTCCACCTGTCTTTTTGTACATATTTTTTACTTGAGGTAAATCTAAAACCAGAGAAGCAGATTTTTTTTTTGAAGGCAACAAGTCTTGATGCCTTGACTGTTTGTGTGATCCAAGTCTTATTGAATGTTTCATTGTACATGTACAGGTTCAGAGTGAGGCTCTCTGTCTGTGTAAATACGTGCTGGTAGCAGACATGTAAACGGGAGAAGACTGTCAATGACAATCACTAATTATAATCACTAAAACTGATTCACAACATTCCACATTCCCTGCAATCAAAACAGGTCTTAAAGGAGTATTGATCTCTTCACCAACACTCAACCCCATGTGATTAAAACCTGCTATTTGGAGAGAGAGAGAGAGAGAGAGAGAGATCATTTAAAAGAAAATCCATTCGTTGAAAGTGAAAAGGCGTGCCACACTACTGATTCCCACTCATCAAAATAAGACACGTTCTCTTGCAGGGGAGCAGCAGCTCGGTGCAGTGCCTCACTGTCACAGTAATCAGTCCAGCTTGTGTTTTTAATATCTGCATTTTTAACAGTAATCCACTGTACTTGTTCAGCTAATATGCCTTATTGTTATTATAAATTAGAACTGTAACTAACATGTATTTGGGCTATTCTTTACTCTAGCATAGAATGAACCAGTAAGGTGTTTTAAATTGGGAATATTGTTTGCTGACAAGATGGCTTTTATGGTTTACATACAGTAGCTTTGAATAATATTGGAAGCATTATGGGCTTTATACTGCAAAGGACTTTCTGTACAGCTGATACTGTGTTAAGAAAGATCGACTTCAACATGACATTCCACTAAATGCTGAAACAGACAGGAAAAAAAGTAAAGTGCTGTGATGAATTGTTGGGAAATGGGTGTAGATGGTCCCACTGTAGCCTTGGGAGAGTGACACTGACTTGTACAGATGTAAAATATTCAGTTTGCACTGCATAGATTAAAACCTGACTTTAACCCGGGGTGAGGATGAGATGAGACCACCTCAGAAGATTAACAACACAGTAGTTTTTCCTCCAAAACAAAAAGAAATTCTCAATTATTTATTTTTGTATTATTGACATTTGGATTGCAGACATTAGTAGTTTAGCATTTTTATGACTAACAACCCCTCTTTCCCCTTTAATCTGTTTTAAGGGTTTCCACCTTGTACTGACTTTGTAAATTTGATCTCCTTACGGCAGAGGATGTACAGAAGAGACTGTTCTTTAACAATAGATTAAGTGATCTCTTACCGTCCTGTGGAAAGGAATTGAATGTCTACACTTAAGTGCGCTGCAATAAATGAATTTGTGAACTGATTGAAAATTAAATCTGTCTGTTTTTTGTCTCTGTTGATGGGGCATGGTGTTATTCACTGTCACATCAGTTACTGATTTTCAGGTCAGCATCAAATCCTTTTCTAAAGAGATTATCCTGTTCTTCTTTAAATGTATAACTTCCTCCATCTTGTTCATCTTGTTCATCTTGTCCTCCGTCTCTCTTCTATGGCCTTCACTGCCTCACCTGGGTTGACCTCAAAAGCATCACACCTGCTTTTCACCCAAGTGTCCAGGACACCCTGGCACATTTAGAGGGTTTCAGAAATGCAGGGCTACTTTTACTTTAACTTTGTTTTATTATTATTTTTACTTTATTATAAGAAATTCTAGTATTATTTTTATTTTTTGTATATTTAAAAGTTACATAGTTTGGCTTTGGAGCAGGAGTCATCTGTGAGCACCTAGCATTTTAATGAACACATTTATTTAATTTAAGGCATCTTCAGAGATGACTCAAAGTCCAGCGAGTTTTAGCTAACTGTATCCTTCCGCCAAGCAGCATAGCTCTCGGAGAACCCCATGACTGAGTTTCCAGTAGGCGCATGAATATGTTAATTACATGTGCAGCCTCAGGTGCGTGTTGTCGAGAAACGGGCGGCTGAGCCCGGGGAGTAGAGGAAGACAAAATGCCGGTGAGACGGACGAGAAACGCAGGAGATGCCCAGAGCAAAGAGCAGCTGAACCGGGAGATGCGACTGAGCAGACTGGCTCTATTCATTCAGCAGTTTGAGAAAGAAGGTTTGGTAGTTTCAGCTGGACAAATGCCATGTTTAACTTCACCTAGCGGTCCCCACCTTGGACCTAAACATGACGTTTTCTTTTTCTTTTCTTTTTAAACTTTCAGCGCAGGAACGCATGAACGAGCTGGCAGCTAAAATGGAGAACATGATGGCCACAGTTGACAAAATCTTTAAAGTGGAAATGATGAAGATGCCTCCTTCTCTTCAAAACACGCTCATAGGAGATTTAATAAGCGGTGAGGCTTTTAATCATGAAATTAAGAGGTTTTACTAATTCAAAGGTGTCAGCTGAGATTCATACCTTGTTTATTTTTCTCTAACCCACTCACCCATCAAACTATCCTGTGTAATAGAGGAGGAAATCTCAGCAAGTGAAGTGTCAATTGCCATGAAGGTGAGCTGAGTGAGTAGTTTGTGTCCCACCTGTTTCTAATTACAACACTTTTTATTTTTATTTGTATAACAGACATAATTGTCACTTCTTGCAGAATGAGTCCCTCGAAATGCACCAGCCCCTCAAAAGGGTACCCAGTAAAAGAGGTGAACCACTTTGTTTTTTTTAAACCAAGATAGTTAATAATTAATCTTGACTGTGCAAAAAGCACATGTGAAAAATCCAGCACAAAATGGTATCCTTTGAAATTAAATTTTAACATCATCTGTGCTTTTATTTTTGTAGTAAAATCTACACCAGTTCAATCTACCCCAGTCCAGAGGTCCTCATCCAAGACCTCTAAGGTAGGTGATGTAAATCCTCTACACCCCTGTGTGAGTTTGTGTTGGATCTCATTAAATGTAGTTCCTGGGAAGATTCTTTTGAGAAGAAAAGTAGGGGATGTTTATTCTTGTCCCATGGATTTCTGTTGGGTTTCACACATTGGTTTATTTTTCCGTTTAAAGATTGAAATGTTTGATTAATGGACAGAGCTGAAGTAACTTTACAAAAGCAATGGCGCATCGAGCATCACATCCGGTCCTGGTTCTTTCAGTACAGTACCCATAAGTCATGTTTCATCATAACCAGCATGGTTTGTTTGTCTCAACGTTGTTCATCTTTTGTTCTTTATTTTTAGGGAGGAAACGGGACAAAAAGGACCAGAACATTAGCTGGTAGTAACAGCACTGGAAATCTCAGGTAAGACTGGGGTGTAGAGTGAAGTAGTATGTAGCGTATTGAGTGTGAGGTTCATGCTGGCTTTGACGTTGCTGTTGGTTTTCTACAGGGGCTCCACAGTCACTGCCAAAAGAACCCAAAGCCGCTTGACCAAGACCAATGACCAGACCGTACCGACCAAACCTAAACTCAGGTTTAGGGGTTTGCATGATTTAACCTGCTCATATTTGTACATGTTGCCACTACAGACAGTTTGTTGGAACTTCGTCAATAATGAGGAAATGACCCGTGACTCTCATGCTGTTCCAGGTCTGTCGTCTCTGCTGGTGATCTACACTGTTCAGTGGCAGGCTCTGCTGCACACATCACTGTGACCACGGCACAGGGGCAGGTTCAGTACTGAGTGCTTTTTATCCTTATCTTCAGACCCAAGGAGGCAGTTTCCCCACTGCCATGATTCAAAGTTTTGTACACCAGACATGTCTGGATCTACTGCTAATGTCTAGTTTTAGTGTTAATGCTGCACTGAATTGTCATCAGATTCAAGGCTTGTATATATGTTTTCTACATGTGGTTCTCTCTTTCTAGACTGTCAGCTTCTCTGAAGAGACCAAGGATGAAATTAACCTGGACTTGCTGGATGACGTGGCGTGGTGTCAGATTCAGAGGCTGACGGTACGGTGCTCATGTTTAAATGTGACTTATTAGTGTCAGTTAGTTCCTTATCAGAGCAAGGGACTTGGTAAGAGCCTTTTTGAAATATACTGTTAAATGTTTGAAACGTACCATTGTAACAACTGGTCATCTTTTAATGCAAATTGGATTTTGGGCTTTCAGAATTTGATGGAGTATCTGTCCAGGCGAGGTCCCTGCCAGCGATGAGTAAAGGTGTCTGAACATCACTCTGACTGGGATTTTTCTCCACTTACATTTAAAACTTTTTAATATTATGGTATTCATTTAAAGAAGTTTGGTTTAATACTTAACCAGATACTATAATAAGCAATAGTTATGCTTTGGTTGTGTTAAGTATTTTAAAAAATATATAATAAAGCTTATTTGTTATCCTTCATGACTGACTACAAAATGTTTGTCTGTAAAATGTGAAATCACAAAAAGGCCTACAATTAAATTGGCGTAGGTTGACCAACGGTTCCAATATCATTAATGTATTCCAAGGTTACTTTTCGAAATGACAGTAAAAGCAACTAGAGAGGGCTTTTACCTAAATTTGAGCCCATTTTTTGTTTAAAAACAATCTAACTTAAGGGAATATTGATCATCCCTTTGTAAGAATCTCACAGACAAACAAAAATTTAGCTTTCCATGTGTAGAAAAAAAGAGCCAATAACTACAAATAACTGGTTCCAGCAAAGTTTATATAGAACTAAGCACAGGGATAAGTTTTGACAGATTGGATTGTAAATGTCTCGGTTATAAAATTATAAAAGAACTGTCTAATCTGACAAGTGAGCTGATTACAGCAAAAATTACATTTTTAAAAAGTACAAAATGGCATTGTGTTCAACACAGAACTACATCAGAGCTTTACATCATAATGTGTTCAGTATCTTCAACATCAGAAACTTTTAATATTTGCCAGTAAAGCAATTACTGAAGTATTGCCACGGAAACGACTTAAAACTCAAAACATAAGGCTGTAATGGGTCACTGTTCCTGCTGGAAGGGTAATGACTTCATCTCAACTTCCATGGGCCCCTCCCTGCGGTGCTGGGTGGAGGGAGAGCTGGAGGACGTAGCTGGTGTGCTGCTGGCAGCGGAGGCTGGCGTGTGATTCGACTCAGGAGTTATCCGGGGGTAGAAGGGTCCGACCAGCCAGTTGAGCGGCGTGTTGTTGACAAGATAATCCATGACGGTGTCAAGAGACTCTTTAATTTTTCCCAGCTGTGCTTTGCTGTTGGTCAACATGCTGTCTGGCAGGTCTCCCAGCACCTTGGCCTTGCTGAAGTTGGTGTAGACCTGTGTGGCAGAATGGCTGAGGGAGAGTGCTTCCTGCTGGATGTTGTTGGGGAGGCCCTGCAGGCTGGAGACGAGGACCAGACATGTGGTCTGGAGCTGCTGGGTGAGGGAACGTGCGAGGGCCAGGGTGCGTGACTCAATTGCCTGAAACGACGGGATGGACAGATGTAAATAACCTGTGATGACACACTGTATTTACGCCACATGTGCAGATGAAACAGACTGGAATCATTTGCTTGTGATTTCCTTGACGCATTCAGCCTGTTATCTCTCAGCATATTTGTGTTTTCCACCTCCTTACCTCTGCCTCGTGACCGCTCTCCTGGTTTGGACCATTGGACTTCCATATCCCCAAAGAGCTCAGCTTGTCGTTTACCATCTGGTTAGCCCCGCCAATATTCCTTCTGCCGTATTCAATCTAGAAAAAACAAACACCTCAAATGTTTATTGCTGTCCATGAGCAGTAAAAGAAAGTATCTACCTTTTTAGGGCAGGAGTCTAATGAATCTTAAGGAATGTGACAAAGCAATTTAACTAAGCAGATGTTGAAGGAAAAAAAATGAGACCCACCACGTCAACAGTGGAGTTGAGCTCAGAAATGAATTCCATGCTGCGTTGCCTGCCATCTTGGATTTTGGTCACAGCCCTGGTGTACGCCCGCTGCCTCAGCTTCGTGGAGAGGGAGCCCAGCCTGACATAGTAGCTCAGCTCCTTCTTATCAAAGCCTTTCACAGTTTTTGCCTCCAGCTCTGTCACAAGAGAGGGAAACATGAAAATGAGTTTGACTGCTTTGATTTTTGTCAGTGATCCTTTTAAGTGTGATGAAGTCTGCTACCGATTGCTATAGTGTTAGCGATTTGCGTGTTAAAGTAGATTGAAGTTTTAAAGCCATGAAGAATGTAGTAATCTATGGGTTAATTCCTGGACAGACATCAATTTAACATAGCGTGTGAGATTGTTTACTGTAAGCTCCAGCACACCACAGTTCACTCTAAACAACAACTCCTTTAATAATGGAGAAAAACAGACCACTAATGCATATTTAGATTCTCAGAGGAGTGTAATCTAATCTTTCTTTTTCTGGAAACTTGACCAAATCCATCGTTAACATAGTCCAGCTGCCTCTGACCCTTGATACAGCTTGTTACAGATAAACAAGCTTAATCTCACTAACCTTGTTTTGTTTTGTTTTGTTTTTTATTTAAACACCATTAAAGCCAAAACAGCAGAAAGAAATGTGTTTTTGAAAAAAATCTTTTTAAAAGATGTTTTATTCTTAGCAGTTATTAATATTTTGTGGCTGTTGCAGGATTTTTTATGGGATAGGAAAGAAACCATACATATATATTTCTATGGTGTAGATTTTTATATTAATTTCTTTTTTTCTCTATGGGAAGTTATGAGTAAGTAGTATTTAGTATTTTGGCTCGTAGACCTCTAAAAAAGAAAAAAATGTAATGAAACAGCCTGTAAGAGAAGGCCTGTCTTTGGCTGAGCTTTTAACCAAACCTATCAACCTATATCATGTGTTTTAATGGCTTACACAAGCTAATTAGGTTGAGATGCACTGGTTTTAACCGGTGCCCTACTCACCCAGCTCGTCCTCCGTCAGAGGCAGGTACTGCTCCACCAGGTTCTCAGATGTACTGAGAGCTGTGTCAACTCCACTGCTGACCATCTGGGCTACTCTGCTCTCCAGCACTGTGCTGACACTCCCACTGACAACAGCCTTGGTCTTCTCCATCCCATCCTGCACCGCACCCCGAGTCTTTTCCACCACACTGGTTAGGGTGTCTGAGACTGTGTCCTTGGCACTGGACACTGTGCCTGTCACAACATCTTTGGCTGTGCTTACCACATCCTTGGCATTGGAAACAATCTGGGCAGGGACAGAAACATGGACTAATAAATGTTTGTGTCCTCAAACTGATTGCAACAAAGGATGAGTGGTTTAATGAGGAGACAGCGGTTTAGAAAGACGGGACAGAGGTCATGGCTGAGCCCTCAGTAAGATTAGCCAACGTCAACTGTGAAATAGGACATTGTGCAACTTAGTTAGGTCATTAATCCAGTACATACCTGCTCAGAGGGCTGGTGAAGAATCGGCAAGGTTTTCTCAATCTTGTCCAAACCTTTACAGGCCAGGTCATTGGCAATCGCAACTATAGACAACAAAAGAAAAAAAAATAAAGTAAATAATTTATTCAGAAACTACTTTGAGAATAAATGTTCCTTTCAGATTATACTGTACATCTTTTCTGTTCAGGCTCAATTTAGCCTGATTATGAGTAATAAGAAAAACTGGGTGAAAGATCACCGTGAGTAAGAGCCAATAGCCTGAGTTGAACTTCCTGTTTAAAGCTCTGCCTGTGTGACTCAGATGGTCAGCACTTAACTATCCTTATAGTTTCACTTCAGCTCCTTGGGTTTCATTTTGACACCCTATCCACTTTGAAGCCATGTCTACATAAGGATGATGGCAAGTTATCTGAAGGGGTTCTTACTCTGAGGTTCCAGTTTGCCCATGATGGGGGAGGCAGTGGTGAGGGCCACAGAGGTGATGGTGCGGACTCCTTGCTCCGCAGCCTCACACACAGTCCTGATGTAAGGGTGGGTGCCCTTGGTGTTGGAGTAGACGTTGGACACCAAGCCATAGGTGGAGCTCACCAGAGGAAGGCTGGTCACCCTCTCTACCACATTCTGAGGAAACACAAAGTAAACAGTACAGTATTCAAATTTATAGTTCAACTGTGCTGTTCTATTCTTAAATTGGGCAACTAATTTCCAATGACTGTTTATATTATAAAATAGCATTAAGGCCATTATCCCATGTTCCATACTTTCACAGTCACGTTTTCTTTTAATATTTTGTCAGTGTAGTTTTGTGGTCAACTCAAAATTAGCTCAATAACAAATATAACTTTGTGTAAACACGGGTGCATGTCTTTCCTGTAGACTCACCTGATAAGAGATAACTTCAGCTGCTGCCATGTCTGCTAAAACAAAGTCTGTGGAGAGGAGACACAACTTTTAACGGTTCTATTCTAAACAAATGAACATATATGTTTACTTCCGTATTACTGTAAAATGTGCTAATAGTTACACAATAATAATAAAAATTCAAATTGGGTCCAGTAAATTTGACTTAACCCTCGCTGTCACGCTGTTTAAAAAGTAACAGATATAATTTCCAGACTTACCGAGTGATACGTCTGTTTCCCAGATGTCAATGAGCTGACTGATACTGAAGTGAGAGGCTGCAGCAGCTGTATTTATAGTCGATAATTATCGCGAGATGTAGAGCAGCGCTCTGACGTCAGCGACAGTATTGTTTCCTGACTGTTTCTGGGGCAAAGGTAAAAGGAGTAAAAGTTTAGTCGGGGAATTCCTCTGTAATCAGCCGTCACGTGGTCAAGCTATGACATGTTACAATAGTTTGATTTCTCGTCGTTTCATAAGCCAGAGAGTCGTGTCTGGTCATTGGAGGGAGATTTTCTACAACGTCTCCAGGGCGTCTGGGTAAAGTGTAAGCCTAAATTCTGAAAAACACAACACAGTCTAAAACTATTAGTACAAGTGCACACACACCTGAAGCCAAAATTTAGCAGAGGGCCCTCTATTTGACTCACCTGATAGGCTACTATATCAGCAGTAGTGCACACAGTCCTAAGAGTACATATGGAATTTCAATTATATTGTGCTTTTGCTTACAGCTGTAAAGACCAACCTTTGCTCCTTATAATTTTGACTAGTGGTACATCTTCCCAAACAATTTTTTGACTTAATCAAATTCCCAACAGCCACACAGTGAATCTGAGGAATCTGAGGCAGTTTCCAGCTTTGCAGGGTTGGTAATCCAACCTTAACAACACGGGCTCTGACAGGACTCAGCAGTTGGTGTCTATTCAGGCAAAGTGCTACAGCTAAGTGTCATATTTTAGCTCAAACCCATATGATTTATACTGTTCCTTAAGGGTTTGTAATGATCATTAGATAAGATGATGGACAATCCAGGACCAGGTCCCACCTGTATTGTTTATTTTTGCCCCAGATAAAGCCATGCTGGCCATGTCAGAATGTACTTTACATACACTTGTATTATCCATCCAGATCACATATAATACACAAAACAAATCATTTTACAAGTGAAAAAGAAGAACATTTGAAACAGCCTTGTGTCATCTATTTTTTCCATGATACCAATGAAGATAATACCAACACAATGTTCAAGAATGAAACAACTTCGGACGTTTATTCCACACAGTAATGTAGGCCACTAAGTTTGGTATTTTCTACTAAAGGG